TGAGAAATCGCCCCACAATTTTTCACCGATGGGAGGTGGTCAGTCAACTGGTACAAGTAATCTGCAGACTCTTCGTTCAGACACGCATCCATCGAATGATGTAAGTTGGTAGAGTAATGTTAGAGTGGTTTACAACATATTATCACTCTATGATGTTTTTTTTTGGGAATACTTATTATTTCGACATTAGGTCACATATATATTGCAAGTCACAAATATGATCAACAGTGTATCAATGTTACTGATATATGCATTATGTGTGTGCTTGGACATATGTAGTAGGTGAAATGTTAATCCATCTTATCTCATGGTGAAAAATCACAACTGATATGATATTCTAGAAGTTCATAGGTAAATGACTTAATTTGCAAAGTCACAATAACAATGTATCTCATTTATGTTCTGTCACATGCTACAGGTTGTTGAGGATCTGCGGAAACAATTCAATGGCCAAATACGTGAACTCCAGTCTCAAAATCAATCATTGAACAAGCAGCTCGACGATATGAAGTCATAGATGTCGTTGCTCAAGTCTAATCAGCAAAAGAAATTGACTATTATAACGCGTATGCAAGGTGAAATCTGCACAGACCTCATCGACATCAAATCAAATATGCATTTGATGTCCGAGACTGTCACTACATTGGTTGCCAGTTCCATGAACAAATTTAAAGAGAAATCTGAAGGAAATATTGCCAGACATGGTGAAACAACAGACAAAGTCAGTATTTGTTATACTAATCATGCTTTTATTTTATTCGCATTTCACTTTGAGATTACTAACGCTCTTGAGATTTTCAGGGTAAAGCAGCCGAAGAAATAGTGATTTCGAAAGGGAAGGGCAACATTGTCCCTGTCAACATATTTCACACCCCTTTAGTCTTCAGCCACCATCATTCGACTTGGGGGTCGGTTCCACGCAACCAGACTTGTCGAAAGCAGTGAAGTCCAAAGATGTGGAAGCGCATGTTGACATGATTATATCAGACGTATTGGAGGAAACGGAGTCAGCTGAGCAGGAGATAATTACAAATAAAAATCTCATATTTCTACATGACTATCGTAATAAGACAGCAACCCATATAGTTCACATGTATGTTGATATGGTCACAGAAATTTTAAATAAATTACAGTGATGTGATCTATTACATTTCACGAAGCAATCTCCTCTTTTCGCACCCAGCTCTGGACTGCCAATTAAGAGGGCTTCCAAACCAGCTAAGGCACTTCAATCTCCGTACGTTGTTGTTGAAGGAAAACAAACCAAGCCTTCAGGAGATGTAGTACTGCTCCAGAATTACACCCAACATGTGGATGATGCGGACGTTGCTGATTTTCAGAATTGGTTCCAACGAGGATACAAGCCTCATAATAAGTACGAACCATTTCTACATTAATTTTTCGTTCGTACCGAGTAATGATTTATTTCTTGTTGTATGCAGGAAGAAGTTTAGCGACAAAGATGATCATGCCTGTCCCCAATTTGTTGTCGGTCAGTTCCCTGTTGGATGTAAATCGTGGTGGTACGAGCTTGTATCTAGGGATATGTCATTGAGCAGTTCGGTATGTTGATATTTCCAAGCTACAGTACTTACCTGTACATAGTTTCACATAACATCTCGAATTGATATGTGGTGTAGTTTGCATGCTCAGAGTGACATGATGAACATATGCAAGGTTAAGATATGTATGAATGTGTCACGGTTCGAAAAGATGTACGTAAATGTGTAACTAACAATCATTTATGAATCAAACATCACATTTTATTATGACCATTTGTGAAAGTGGATGGTCACAGAATATGTGTATTCTCATGCGGACAGGTCACAATTTCTTAATTCTATATACATATCTAGGTCACATGTTACATGTCTTGATTACAGGGTAATATATACACATATGTTTTTAATCCTATTTAATAAGTCCTGCATTTTGCTACATTTATCACACGTCAAACTCACTTGACATCCCAATATTATTGTACTTGTAGCCCTTCCTAACTTTTACAATTATATCATTGTGGTAGCATATGGACGTTTGCTTATACGTCAGTTGGCAAATAATTGAAAAAATGTAAAGTTCGTTGCTACCACGACTAACTCATTATTCCAGATGAAGCTCAAGAACATCTACCCCAAATTTAAGCATGACCCAAATGTAGTTGTCACAGATTCAAGGCTTATAGATGACATTACTAGTTCACGCATTCCATTGAGCAAGCCATGGTCCGAAATGGAACTCGTGTTGATGCCAATCTTGCCTACCAACAAAGCACATTGGATGCTTGGAGTGCTTGACATAAAGAAGCACTCGTTTCTTGTGTTCAACTCATCTAGGAAGACATACAACAATGTAAAAGTCCGATTGGGAATTGAACCGTTTATCAAAATTCTACCGCACCTAATGAACCATATTGGAGTTTGGAAAAAGGATTCGAAAGGTCATCTGGATGATTCTATGGAGTTGAAAGTGATGCATGACTTCTCCCTTCCGTAACAGAAAAATGGGTAAGTTCGTGACCATCGATCTACGTTTATGAATTCTATACTTCATATACTACATGCCTAATAATCTGTTTTTCTGTTGTTTGTGTATTCTCAAGACATGATTGTGGCATATATGTAATCAAATATGCCGAGTACATGCTCCATGACGATATGGGCTCCATATCGATGAGATTTGATGCGAGCAGAGCACACCTGGACAAAGCTTCATTGTTGTTTAAATATCGAGAAATCGGAAAGGGCACAAGAAAGGTGCAACAAGTTGGAGGAGAAAGCATTGTCATAGAATGATAATTTAGATGCAGTCTGACCACATTTCTTAATTTTTTGTAGAAGTTAGAATGTGAATTGTTTTTTGTTGGCGTCAAATTCGCAAGAACTACTTTGCTTTTGTAATTGGGGATTTGAATTGGTCTACTATGAAGATGCTATTTTTGAGTACCTATTTTTCAGTGTTGTTATCAGATAATGAATCAAACTCTTTGCCAGTATTAATCAGTGCGCACTTATGTTTTGCAATAGTCATAGGAATTTGCACAATCCCAATGCGAGTGTATGTTGCTTATACTCACAGTCATAGATATATCTGCGTGGGTTATATATTATCTACGAATGAGTCACATATTTTATTTTTCTCACAGTTGTTATTTATTTATAATCTAAGAGTGGGTCACATATTTTATTTGTTCATGATCTAAGAACGGGTCACATATGTATTTTCGCATGGGTTATCCAGGTCACGGGTTTGATTTATGATCTACGAATGAGTCATAGATTTTATTTAAGTCACATTTTTTATTTATTTATAATGTAAGAGTGGGTCACATATTTTATTTGTTTATGGTCTACGTATGGGTCACAGACATATTTTCACATGGGTTATCCCGGTTACGGGTTTGATATGGGTCACAGACATATTTTCGCATGGATTATCGAGGTCAGAGGTTTGCTTTATGATCTACAAATGAGTCACAGATTTTATTTATGTCTCATTTTTTATTTATTTATAATGTAAGAGTGGGTCACATATTTTATTTTGTTTATAGTCTATGAATGGCTCAAAGACATATTTTCGCATAGGTTATCCAGGTCACGAGTCTGATATGTGATGCACGAATGAATCACAGATTTTATTAATGTCACATATTTCATTTATTTGTAAACTAAGAATGGGTCACACATTTTATTTATTCATGATCTATGAATGGGTTACAGACATATTTTTGCATGGATTATTCTGGTCACAGGTCTGATATGTGATGTACGAATGAGCCACAGAATTTACTAATGTCACATATTTCATTTATTTATAAACTAAGAATGGGTCACATATTTTATTTACTCATGATCTAAGAATGGGTCACAGACATATTTTCGCATGGTTTAATCCTATCACAGGTTTGATATGTGATCTACGAATAAGTCATAAATTCTATTAATGTCGCATATTTTATTTATTTATAATCTAAGAGTGGGTCACATAATATATTTATTTATGATTTGTGAATGGGTTACAGACATCTTTACACATGGGTTATTCTGGTCACAGGTTTGATATGTGATCTACGAATGAGTCACATTATGTTACACCAATATTTGTGGGTCACATTTCGGGTCGAACTCAATATCATGTGACCAACTATGCCAACATATCATACATATCACAAATTCATGTCATACAGTAGAATGGCTAGTCAACTTGGTAAGGCAGATGTCACAGACAATTATGTAGCTGTCACAAGTCAGATCACATACACTTGTTAACATGTGACACATTTCTTTGATAAAAACAACCAGGTCACATAATGCATATTTTATCTGTGATAGACTGCAATGCTCTATGAAAATAGAAGTCACAGATTATAGCACAGTGGTCACAACAAAGTTAACATACAATGATTGTTATTGGGATCACTGTACTCAATCATAAGCATTGGCATGGATACATCTTATTGGTCACATACTGTCAAATGCAACGAAATACCAATGTTTTCACGAGTCACAGAATGCCTTCTTGTTTTACACCTATCTAAGTTTGAATGAATCATAATTTCTATTTGTCTCTAATGCATAAATTCCAACTGCATAATAATCGAATGTACATTAAATCAAAATAAATGTCAAATGTTATCAAAACAGTCGGAAATGTGTTCATTTGCATTTTATTGTGAACAATACGAACAAAGAATGAATCAAAAAATAAAGCATTCCATGACGTTACGATCGCTGCATGTTGTCAGTTGCCTTTCTCTTTCACTCTTTAGTTCTCGACTGGCCCTAACATAATGGGACCAAGCTGCTACAAGTCCTTCGATTGTGATCATTTTCACCACAGCGTCCACATTTCATTGTGACGTTCTCTTCACAAGCCGATTTATATCTCTTCTCATTAGGCATTCCACAATTTCGCTTCTGATTAGGTGGTAACACATTGGTGTCATATAAATCATCAGGCACCATCTATTCAGTTGGATTTTCGACATGATAGATTGTTTCTTAGTAAGCATTCATGTATGCTTCTCTTGTGTAATAGTACGAGCAGAAGTCATATGGATCCATCTTCATACTTGCAATCGTAGCCAAAGCATGTGGGCACGGTAGTTGATTAACTTGAAGCGTCCTACATGTGTAGGTACGTTGTTCTATGTTAACAATGAATGACGAAGTTTCACCACTAACCAAAAACGTGGATTGATTTATAGGAGAGACCTGCAGTTAACATCGAATGTTACATATACAATAAGTCCCGATATACTCATTTCAATTCACATATGGAACTACATGGCACATCACACAAATATAATCTTAGTAGCACATGTTACAGGTCAATAACAATATTATTTAATGATCACACATCTATAAACACACACTCCCAATTCAATTCAAAGAATTGACATTACCTTGAAATTTCTCATAACCGTGCTCATTGCTCTTATATACTTCTCGTACTTGCTTGACAACGTCGTGAAAGCTCCTTGCGCTGTGTCCTTATGCTTACAGAACCATGTTTGTGTAGTTTGCCACAATGATTCCAACAACGCTATAACAGGAAAGTGTTTGGCAGACTTTGTCACCGCATTAACTGATTCTACTATGTTCGATGTCATTGTGGAATACCTATTTCGTGGCATGTGAAATCGTGACCACTTCTCAGGTACAACCTCGTTCTACGAGCAACAAAAAAAATAATGAAGTCCCATGTTATACATTCTCCATATCACAACAAATATATGCATATTAGTATAGACTGAAAGTAATATGTTAATTATGTATTATCAGGTAAGTCCTTATATTCACATTGATGGCATAAAGTTCTTGCATGTGATATTCGTATTCTATCAGGGTGTAAGCACGGATAGCCGCATTGAATGGTTGAGTTACATTGTGACCTGATCTTCCGTACCGTGACTTAAGATTCTGTAGAAGATGGTATGAACAAATTCCATGACATGCTCCTGGATACACGTTTCCAATTGCATTCTTTATATTGTTATGACGATCCGATACGAAGCACAACCCTTCTCTATCTCCATGTGCCTTCTTCAGGTTTCCTAAAAACCATGTCCAAGATCTATCATTCTCAGTATCCTCAATTCCGAAAGTAAGTATAAAAATGCTGTTGTTTGCATCCTGTGTGCATGCCGTGAATAGAGTGCCACCGTAATGTCCATTTAGATAAGTTCCATCGACCACGACAACAGGCCTGCAATGTCTCCATCCTCGAATTGATGCTCCTAGGGCCATGAAACAATATTTGAACCTTCCATGACTATCAAGCTGTCGATCTGTGACTGTACCAGGGTTTGTTTGATGCAACATGGAAAAGAATCTGGGTACCCTACTGAAGGACTTGGTTGGATCCCTCCTGATTATTTTCAATGTTTCCTCTCAAGACCTCCAAGCCTTCACATAGTTTAGCGACACTCCATATGCATGCATCATGTCATTACATATATCGTTAAGAGTGTAGATAATGCGTGAGGACGTGTACTTGTACTTGATGCATGATGATACAACAGACTTTGTTACCTGCCTATGAGAACCCAGTACAACATTCGAAGTACACGTGTGACCTTCAATATGTCTAATTTTAAACATATTTGTCTTCGCCAACTTGGACGATCTACATATCCAATCACACCCGCTCTGTGAAAACTTGATAAGATAGTCCTTTTTGTCTGAACGAAGAACTATATATTCGAACATATTTTGAATTGCAAAAAAAGGACAAGCTCAACTTCAGGACCTCCTTGTCACGAAAACCCTTCCCTTCTCTACATTCCTAGCATCTGCGACTGATACAACTGCGATTTCATGTTCAAAATTGTGATATGATGGTTCAACTATTGATTCGCATATATCCGATGACACATCTAGTAGAGAAAATTCGGGTTCGCTTCTTTGTTTAACAATTGGTTCCGCGACCGGTTGGTGCATGCTCTCTGCATCTGTGACTTCAATGTTTATCGCATATTTGGCAGGGTCACGATCTAAATCCTTTAACGCCATGTACGACAACACGCTACTGTCACTTTTTAGTATTATTGGAGGTAAACCACTGCTCAATACATACTTCATTGTGACTGCCACTTTACTAAGGTCCAGTCCAAACTCTATTGTGACTGTATCCACAAGCTTTGTGTAGCTGCAGTTGTGGTCGATCAACACCAATGATATTTGTGATCCATTCATCAAGCAAACGTGTATTTGTCCCATTTCTGCAACATGAACGTAATGGACATTAGTGACATATCTAAATAAAGGTGACAATGAACAATGTCCAACTTCTTATAGTCCAACCATATCTCCAGTGTTCATTAACCCTGGTCACATGTTCAACTATAGGTCACATACTTGAATTACATAGTCACATGAGTATGCATTATCAGACACAATAGAGGTCATACACGATTTTATTGTGGCCTTAGCATAGGCCACATACATGTCGGGTCACAACAAATTTTATTATGTCCACACGGTAAGTCACATAGACGTTGCTTACCTTATCCAAAAAACAAAAGGTCACATAGACGTTTTCACATGGGTATTACTCAGATCACAGGTCACTGGTCAAAGTTTACGAGTCACATATCCATTACCATATAACACCGACGAGTAATGAAATACATATTTCATATCTAGAAGGTCACACGTATTCAAAAGAAAATGTAGGTAGATATATACGGGTTCCTGCATTTGATTCCATTAACGAAAGTGAAAATTCTTTCGAAATGAGTTATACTGCACGAAACTGGTTGTACAACCAAATCATTTGATGAAGCAATCAATTACAATCATCAGTTGATCTCCTAAAAATATGCAATTAACCGATCTTAATTAGAAACTTACTGTACGGATATATTAGATTTACATACCGACAAATATGGACTATCGAATTTCAATGATGACTGATATACTGAATTTCCTGTTGGCTGCTGGGTCGATGGATCGGATGAAAATTAGTGGACGCAACCACCTTCACGTATAAAATTTTTCGGCAATTGAAGACGAAATGGCTCAGAACTGTGGCTTTAATTTTGTCGTTTCATAGATGAATTGTATGACTATGTTCAGATCTGTGCCCTATATTCATTGGCTGAGCTATCAATTTGCAATTTTGGAAGGTGAATTTGTTATGATATTGTCCAGCAATTAATGGTAAGTGGACGTAAATGTAGGAATTGACTGAATTCGGTTTTTTTCTGATTTTTGAAAGTTCGAAGATATAATCTTACATTTGAAATGTCATATACTTACACTCTGGATTCTGAAAATTTCCCTTTTAGTTATTTCAATATAATGAAATCCAAACCCAATTCAATTTGAGACCCAATTAAAGTCTTAAGTGTCAAAGCCCATTTTGATATCAAATTCCTTCTATCATATCAAATTGTAATTTACTCACACGTCCAACAATATTTTAGAATGTGCATTCTAGCCCTTAATCCAATTAATTGCTCAACCAACATTTTTCTTTAGTTCAATTCAAGTATTTCAATTTTCAAAGTGTGGCTTTGATCCCCAAAATTCCCAATTTCATCCTTCTTTCTTTTTTAAGTGCTTTGAACGCATTAATCGCTAAAAAGAAAAAGAATTACCCTAAATTAAATAAAAATTAATAATTTGACACCTTAAATGTTTAATAATGTGGCCTAAATAAGTGCACAAATTACACTTATCAAACACTCCCAACGTAAATCTTTGTTCGTCCTCGAATAAAAATATAACATAAATAACAATAAACACATAAGCATACAAAAATATTTGGTTTGACAGTCTAACTTTTTACCTTAGAATTTGAGATCACAACATTAAATCTACAAACTGCTTCAAAGTCACAATACCCAACTAATATATATTTTTCAAATGCAAAACTGATGTGTGTGTGTGTAAAGACCCGGGTCTCTGTATCCAAACCGTTAGCTTACGTACTGTCCGTTTTGGGTGGTTCTTACGCCCACTTGCCCCTCACGACTTTCTGTCACGTCCCCTAGGATTCGAACTCATGACCTTTCTCTTAAGTAAGACTTAAGTTGAATTCTGGTGCCAATCAAACAAGTTGCCCAATTAGTAAGACTTATGTCAACGTTGTGTAATCCTGTTGTCCTTCTTGGCACTTTCCTGTCTATTGGCCACATGGATTGATTTTCTGCAATTCGCTCAAAAAGGTCCAAGGCATTATCTAATTGAATATCCAATATCGATCCCACGCGGAAGCATTGAAGATGTTGCGAAATTCAGGTCTCAGACTGGAATAAAATATGCAAATCTTTGATTTTTTTGGAATGTTCAGAGGGGAGCACTTTCTGAAGTAATCTTTGAATCTTTCCCGTGCTTTTGGATAGCTCTTGAGGTCCTTTTGCTTGAATGTGGACTTCATTCTTAATATGATGGACTCGGATGACAGAAAGAATTTCAATGTGAATTTCTGCACCATGTCATTCCATGAAACGATGCTATCAGGAATTAGAGAATTTAACCATTTCCAGTGCCCTCTTTTAACATCTGAGGAAATAGGCGGAGTCAAAAGGCATCCTCATACATTCCTTCATGGCTGATTATATCACAGAGCATCAAGAAGGCCTGAATATGTTCATGAGGATTTTCGGTTGATCTCCCGGAGAACCTGATAAATTGATGATTCTGGAACAAGCTGATAACATTAGGTCTAATATGGTAGTTGACTTGCCTAAAAGGTGGATAGATAATAGTTGGTTAGACTGGCACGGGATTTATATAATTCCTCACTAAAGCTTCTTCTTGATTTGCTTCTGCCCCTGGTTGATCTGGCTGAGGTAATGGTAAATGATTTTGAACTTGATTCGGATGTTGATTTTCTGCCATATCTCTCGCTTGTCTCTGCTCTCTTCTTTGTTGTCTGAAATTTTTTTCGATTTCGGGATCTATTGGAAGAAGCTCGATCTTGTCCAAATTTTACATAAACTATGATTCCCTGAAAAGAGTAAAGCAAAAGACTTATATAGTTCAATAAATAGCCTAAAACGACTAAAGTAAAGAAAAAAGAAAAAGAAAAAAAAATACTTCAAGTCTAAAAATAACTAATTAACTCAAATTAAATAAATTATTCCCCGACAACCGTGTCAAAATCTTGTTCGTGTAAAACCCGCAAGCGTACGGGATCGTCGACAGGAATATATTTGATGAGTTGAGATTTTTTTCCCACTAAGAATAAGATTTAATTGAGTATACTAGTCTTTAATTAGATTCAACATAAACAAAATAAATGTGTTTTGTGATTTTTTAATTAATCTAACTTAATCTACGAAAACGAGTAAAATGCAAATTTATAATGTGTATGGAAAGAGTGTATTGGATTACAAATCTACCTATTATTATCTATCTCAATTCTTGACTATGTAGCTAATTTCGTTTTTGTATTCTTGACAATCGATAATTCTATTGTAATTAATTTTCTTTTCCAAGACAAATCAAAGCTATCCTATTCACGACCCAAATCTATTCCTAATTTGAATTCGAATGAATAAAACGCATTCAATCTCATAATTATCTCAAAGATTACACACATGATAAATTTTATTCCTAAAATTTATTGCACGCATGTTAATCAAGCAGTGTTCTAGACCTATTGTGAACCTCGCAGCGCTACAACAAATAGCCATAAATTTAATTGGTGATCAAACAATCAAATAATAAAATTATGCATACAAAATTAATCAAGAATTACAAAAATTTAACTAAGCCACGTGTCTCGAATTAAAAATAAATAACAAATAGTTTCATCTTCATCCAATACATGAAAAGACTTAATCTAACACAATGTTGGAATTAAAGACATAGAAGTGGAAGGACATCACCAAAATCCAACGGAGCGTGATTGATATCCAAATTAAAACTACCGTCTTTTCCCAATAGTAGGTTGTTAATCGTCTTCCATCGTCCCAATTCTACGTGTATATGTTCAATTGAAAGCACCAATTTTCCTCTCCAACAAATTTTCCTCTCGGTTTGCGTGTGCTGTATACATATGTAAATCACTTGAATACATATGTAAATCACTTGAAACAGTCGGCAGCCCAATTTATGTTTCTCCCAAGCACTTCTTTTTCTATGTATAAAATATTTAATTGCAGCCTCAATATTTGTAAAATTCCAACTAGTTGGCAACCTTTTTTTTGGTGGTTTTTGTCTCTCCAAAACCACAATGTTTGACTGTCTTTTTTCCTTTCCAAAGCAGCCTCCAATTTCCCCCCAAATCTGTTCGT